CTATCCCATTGCGGAGGACTTGCATTCCACTCGGGGCCTCAGTTTTGCTATCTCTATGATGGGCTGGGTCACCTCCCCTCTGGCCACACTGACTCCTATGCCAACCTTGACGGGGAACCCTTCACAGTTCTGGCTTCCTTCCTCAAGAAAGGCTGTCCCACAGCTACTCCAAGCCCTGGCCTTGCGGGTTGAGGGAAAGGGACTGAGTCCAAAGGTACAGAACCTACCTCCGCGGCTCTCGCTGTCGGCTGGCTTCACCTGGATTGGTCTGTTCATCTAAAGGAGAGAAGAGAAGGCAAGTGCTGGGGACCTCCCTGGACACCCAGCCTCCCCCCCCCCCCCGCCCCCCAAGGCCAGGACCTGCCGAGAGGCAAGAGGGAGGAAACCAGGCCTGGGAGGGCTCTCCAGCCCTCTAACTTGCTGACGGGAAGGGAGGGATGGGCCTAATCTTATTCAGGATTAGGACCAGAGGGGAAGGAGCGGATGTCGAGAAGGATGCTCATGGGCACAGCACCAGGCTCAGGTAAGGCCCCCGACGACTCGGCCAGGGACAGGTGCTGCTCTCCTCAGCGGAACGGGGCTGCCCACAGGCCCTGGTCCTGAGACAGAGCCCGGCCAACGGGCTGGTCCACAGGAGCTGTCGCACTTCCACACCCGAGCAACAGAGGCCACCCATCAGAGCCCCAACGACGACGCTACACTGAGGGGGACCCCACAGATGCCCCAACTTCCTCCTGACCCCTAGAGGAGTGTCTGCCTCTCTTCCTGCCCCCCCTACACCTCTTGACCCCAGGGGGAAGGCATTCGGGCAGCACAAAGGGAGCAGATGCCCAGTCTCCGTGGCAACGGGAGAATGCGCGCCATGGCAACCGCCCACTCAGCCTGATTTATCCGTCCCCGTCGCCCTGGCGACCGTGGTGACGTCATCACTTCTGCTGCTCCGCTCACCGTAGAAGGCGTGGGGAGGGGGGTGGGAACAGGGTATGCTGAGGGTGGAGGATTGGGTGGGGGCTGAGAGGTGGGGGAGGGGCCCAGGAGGAGGGAGGGAGGCTTGCCGAGCTGGCCCCGCGGGGTCCATGCTGCCCCTCCTCCCTCCTCCTCCTGATCAAACCCCTGGTGTCTCACAGCCGGACAGCTCGGGAGGGGGGTGCTGTCCCGCGCCCTTCCAGATGCACCTTGTGCCCGGAGTCCGCCAGAGCTCTCCCCTCTCCCTCTCCGCAGTGGCTCCCTTTTGTTCAGCGGAAATGCACACCCCCCCCCCCCCCCCCAGTTCCACTCCCGGGGTCTTGTCGGGGACAGGACTTGGGAATGACTCCTGCAGGTTGGTTTCCTTAGCTGAGGGCGGGGGGGCATCGTGGGGGACCAGCGAGGGAGGGGCAGGGCTCAGTCCTCCCCGTCTGCGCATATTTTGCTAATGAGGACTTTGACCAATGGGGACACACCTGGTCACCCCACTCATCTGATGGCAGGGCAGGCCTAGTTCCGGCGATCAAAAATAAGTTAACAACAAAAATCTGATTCATCTACGTTCTGAGGGTGGGGCTGAAGGGACCCTCAGGGCGGCTCTGGGCTTGGAGGACTGGCCCTGCCACCCAACCGCTGGGTGACCTTGGACAAGTCCTTTCTCTCCTCTGGGCCTCCGTCTCCTCATCAGCAGAACAACCTGCTCAGGCGGTCGTGGGCCAGGCCCCTCAGCTAAAGTATTCAAGCCCGGGGAACCGTGTACCCTCACCTACCAAAGAGCAGGGCCGAAGCAACAGTCCCCCCGCCCCACACTGGGCCGTCTTCCCGGGTATCCCAGTCTGTCTGGCTGGGCCCTGCTGGCCAGGGACTCCCGGCCCTGGATCAAATCTAAGCCCCACCTCAGCGGGTAGTCCTGCCCCGCCCCGCCCCCACCCCTGGATCTGAGAGCAGCTGGTTGGGGAGGAGGGTCACACAAATCCTCGGCCGGATCTCCTCCAGCTTTATCCTCCACCAATCTGGGATTATCCGTCTGCGGTCCCATCTCCTCAGGAGAGAGGGAGAGAGGGAGTGTGTGTGCACAGCCAGGGCTGGGGTCAGACGCTCAGGCTCCTGGTCTTGCACCTCCTGGTCCTGTACTGTCACCCAAGCGATCAGGAAGTCCCTCACAGGCCCCTCAGCAGGCAGACCACACACACACACACACACACACACACACGCACGCACACGCACACACGCGCACACACACACGAATCAGAGCCAGGGTGGCAGCGTCCGGGAATTCTCATGCTTGCACTGACCCCTTCCCAGCAGGCCCCTGGGGATTTGCTGCTCTAGTTGGGGCTGGGGAACCTGGGGCCAGAGAGAGAGGATGCCCCTCCCTGCACAGGCACAGAAATAGCACATCAATACACATCCACGCTGAGGTGGACCCGCACAAAGGCGCACCCGGGTGTGCAGACCGCAGCACAGACCACACGTCAGAAGCTCCCACAGTCCCTCCCAGCAGCCTCCCTGGTGGCCCCCAGTGCCCCGTCGCCAGCCTCCTCCTCTCGGCCGGCACTTCCTGTGGGAAAGTGAGTCTTTGTTAGCTCAGCTCAGGCACACCTGCCCCCTCCCCTGAGTCCAGCTGGGCTCTGTTTACCTAGCAACCCAGCCCTGGGTGCCTCTCTCCCCTGGCTACCACCGCCAGGTGATAAGGCCTCCTCGGCGCCTCCCAGAGAAGAAGGGGCTATTTATACTCCAACCGAGAGGACTGAGAACCCCTCACCATGGCGGTCACTTGTCAGACCCCACTTCCTCTCTCTCCCGAGGGCGCAGGCCTGGCGCCCGCCACTCCTGGCCGCAGACTTGTGCCTGGCGTCCCAGACCACACGCAGGTCCTTCCATGGGACCTCAGTCCACTGCCCAACAGAAGCTGACCGGGGCCCATGTCCCCAGAGTGGGATTTTGGCCCAAGTAGAGGAGGAAAGGCAGGCCAGGGGGAGCCCCTCGCACCCACCTCCAGGAGGCCGCACCCCGCTCCCAGGAGGAATCTGGGCACCTGTGGCAGAGCCACTCCTGGGGACTCTTAGGGGAGAGAAAGGAAATGGGGCTCGGCAGCCAGAGGCCCAGCCCCTGTCTCTCTCTGGGCAGCTCGAAGCACCACCTAATATGGTGGCAGCTCCCTGGTTCTGGAGTGACAAGGTGGGGAGAAAGGAGAGAAGACCATGAGCCCCTTAGAAAAGACCCTGCGCTAGGAGGGCGTGGGGATTGGACAGCAGGAAGGACTTCCCAGCACAATTGTGCAAGAGCTGGCACACACACACACACACACACACACACACTGTCAATGCTGCCAGGATGGCCAGGGGCAGAGAAAAGACCTGGCGACACAAAGGGTCAGGACATCTGCTCCCTAGACCGCCCTGGTCTGCTCCCCCAGCCTCCAGCATGGGGGCCCGTTGGAGGACAGGACCCCTCATTTCCTGCTGGAGGCTCTGCCAGGCCCCTCTGCATCCTGCCTTCCGGGGCAAGGGCCAACCTGGAGAAGTCGGCGTCTCCTGGGAGCCCGGGGGAGGCTAGACAATCATTAACTGGGTGCCCTTCTCCCTCCCCTCTCACCTGGGCCTGTTTCCCCTCCACACCCAGGATGGAGCCCTGCCTGAGCCACGCAGGCAGCTGGAGGGGACAGTCTCCCCTCCTCTCCCCTCTCCCTTGCCCCTCTGTCTCCGCAGGGGCTCTGAGAGACTGAGAGACGGGGAGATGACAGGAAAAGAGACCAACAGCCGTGGAGTGAAAACTGTGGGTTTGTCAGGGGGCTCCAGAGAGAAAAGGGGGCGGAAGGAAAGTTGCCATGTAGCGCGATAGGAACCAGGCTTCCCAGGGCTGCGTGGGCCCATCCCACACACCTGGCCTGTTGGCTGCCACACACGCGTGCTTGTGTGCGCACACGTGCTCCTGGGATTCCAAGCCTGCTCACACACATGCACAGACCTGAACTCTGTAAGCAGTGGCTGTTCTGGGCTGCCTCGCCACCCACAGAGATCAGAGAGCCGGTGACAGCAGGGAGCTGGCCGTGGATTTGCTGTCCTAGCGAGACTCAGGGTTGAGGGCCACAGAGGGCTGGTCACAGACCCTGGAGGGTTGGGAGTTGGAAGTGGTTGAAGCAGTTCTAATCTTCCTAGGGGCCCCCCACCCTCTTTCCCCCACCTGTTTTGTCTATTTCCTTCCTAGGAAGAGATGGAGAATCAGTCCGCACTCCGTGCCCTACAGGAGGAGGAGTAGAGGCAGGGACAGGTGTGTCTCCAGCACCCACACGGTGCTCAGCAGGTGTTGGCTAAAAGGATGGAGGGAGGGAGCTTTCGGAAAGTATTTCTGGGTTCACTGCGCTAGTGACAACAGAAGCAGCTAGAGAGCAAAAGTGAACGCTCACCGTCCTCCCCATAATGTGTGTGTGTGTGTGTGTGTGTGTGTGTGTGTGTGTGTGTGGGGGGGGGGGGGGGGGCGGTCTGAGATTCTTCACTCCTGCCCCTGCCAGCCCAGGCCTGGGACAAGCTGCAAGGCTGGCTGACAGGAGGGGACAGAGAGTTCTGTTCTTGCAGGAGCGAGGCCACACTTGGTGGGGCAGGGCCTGAGCCTCCACTGTGGTGGCTGCCTGGACCCGCCCAGGCCCGGCTCCGCCCTGATGCCCTGTGGCCCTGCTCCCTCGCTCTCCTCTCCTTGGAAGACATGGAGTGAGCCTGTCCGAGTTCAGAAGC